GGAAACCAAGCAGTTGCGACTTGTCCTCTGCAAAGCAAAACGACTTAGGCTCCTTGAGGCTTGCTGCAGCAATCGCGGCCTAAGAGGTGTCACATGCGGAACGAGAAGACGAAGAGCTGAGAACGGACACGCCTGATAAGTTTGCTCTGCCTCAGGAACTCCGAGTACAAGAGTGCAGAACTGCTCGAAGTATGCAGCCACCCAACTGGAATACCGGAGCACGTGTGAAAGTGGCAGAATAAGACCACCGCGTAAACAGAGGAGGAAGCAGGCTATGTCCTTCTCTGTCCTGTGTAAGGCTGAGGCCGGCTGGCTTTTGAACCGCTGGCACCTTCACCACGGCCGAAGGACGTCGTTCCTGCCGAATCGTCCTTCCGGTCCGCCCGAGATTGTGAAGTATCTGGGGCTGGAACAGATGACGCTGCAAAAGATCTGCCCAGATTGCCAGCACTCGCGTCATGTGCTGAATCAGTTCGCAGCGTGCTCGAGGTTAAAGATGGAGCTGTACCAGCGGCGCGCCGATCAGACATTCTACGTCCGAGCGGCGAGGGTGAATCAGCGCCCGGACGTCGAACAGGTGCCAGAGCGAGCTCTGCAACACGATTCCCCCGAGGTCTGCGCGTAGGCCGGCTGCGCCTGCTGGATCTGGTATGGCGTTAACGCTAGGCTGAGGGCCATCAGGAACACGAGAGGGGGATGGACCATCACGTGCCACCTGCTTGGTACCGCCCTTCGCTTCTCCTTCTTACGTAAACGTTGAGCTGGGCGCACAACTTGAAATTTCTCCACCATCCGAACTGGATCATCGGAGACTTCAGCTCTGCCCGTTGCATCCTGACCTCGCTCCTTCTGCAGATTCGCTGGCGCAGAGGGCCGCGCGGCCGCAGACATCACAGCGCCCGCAAGCGCAGTAGCTACAGCAACAACAGTTCGCCTCGGCGCGTGCTCCCAGATCGCCAACTGCACAGCCGCGGCCACAAGGCAGGGGCCACCAGCAGTTATAGCGCTCGTCCATGTCTGGCAAGAGGAGGCCCAGGGGGCAGCTAAACAAATGCAATCGCTTGAGCCAAAACAAACATCTTGAACCCAAGTGGCTATGGACTCTTTCTCTTTCGGCTCGAGACTCGATCCAAGTGCGGAGACCTGTCGGCTTCGCTCTGGGAAAGGGGGGAGGCAGAGGTCGCCGTGGACGCGCGGGGTCCTGAGGGCGAGACGGGTCCTGGAAGTGTTTCGCCGCCTTCGGGTTTTCCCCTGGGGCCTTCTGGCCTGGGGACCGTCAGCAGGACCACTCGGGATGAAACGCCGGTCCCAAGGGGGAAGCCCCCCCCCCAAAGGTGCGGGGCCGGCTTCCTTCGAGGCCCGTCCGTCGCCCGCTTGCCACACAGGGCGCAGGAAGAGGAGGAGGAGGGTCAGGAGGGAAAAAAACACACAGACACAATTAATCGTCGATTCCCCAGAAAATATGGGAAACTATGGGAAGTGGGGGGGAAGACAAAACCCCAGAAAATATAGGAAAATATGGGGGATATTTTTATTTGTGTGTATTTATTGAATCGCTTCGCTCATTCTGCCGGCCCATAGTGTAGCGTCGCTGGCACTTGCTTGCGTGCTCGGGGGAGCATTTGGGTGGCCTCCTGGGGCCGCTTGGGGGCCTCTTGGGGGCCTCCTGAGGGCCTGTTGGGGGCCTCTTGGGGGCCTCTTGGGGCCTCCTGGGGACTTCTGAGGGCCGAGGGCTCGAAATATTGTTTCGTGTTCCCCCCCTGGGGTCCCTCTTGGGGCGTTCTTGGGGCCCTCTTGGGCCGTCTTGGAGGCCTCTTGGGCCGTCTTGGAGCCCTCTTGGGCCGTCTTGGGGCCCTCTTGGGGGCCTCTTGGGCCCTCTTGGGGCGGTCTTGGGGGCCTCTTGGGCCGTCTTGGGGTGTCGTGAAGCCGAAAAGGTGGAAACGCCAAAATCTCTCCAAAACCTAAGGAAAAGCAGTGAATTTTGCCTCTTGGGGCCCTCTCGGGAGTGCTCTTGGAGGCCTCTTGGGGCGTCTGGGGGCCATCGTGGGCGTCTTGGAGCGATCTTGTGGCATCTCGGACCCCTCATGTAGCATCTTGGGGGCCTCTTGGAAGCCTCTTGGCCCTTCTTGGGGCTCTCGGGGACGTCTCGGAGCCGCGTTGGTGCGCTGCTGGAGCGCCCTGGTGACTCCTCCCGGGACTCTCTCGGGACCTTGCCGGGGTACTTTCCGCCCGGGGGCCCCGAGGGGCCGCCCCGCGCGCGCGAAGTAGAAAGGTTGTAAAGCAGTCACCGGAGATCTTAGCACGCCTCTGGCCCGTCGGGCCGGCGAATTTGTGTGTCCTGGGGCCCCTTCAGAGGGGGGGGGCACAGCAGGCGATCCCCGGCCCTCCCCTCTCTGAGCAGGCCTGCCGTTCCGCTTTGCCCACGGTTGGAGCCTCGGGCAGCTCGCCCAGCCACGGTGGCTGGCACCAGGCGAACACGAGCCCGCAGGCGCTCCGCGGGCTGCGCTCGAGGAGGGCGCAGCAGGAGGGGGAGGCTTTTGCTGGCTCTCGGGGGGAGGAGCTGGAAGGCGCATAGGGGGGGCCTCTGGCTTCGCTTTCCTTTCGGAAGGGCGACAGGGGGGGGGGGCAGAGGGCGAAGGCTCTTGGAAGCGAAGCTGGTGGAGTAGGGCACAGTACCCAGGAGAGGCCTCTGGCTCGCCTGCGGGGCGGGGGGGGGGGGCACGAGGGGCGCTGGAGGGGCGAGGTGCTTGGACGGCTCCTGCCTTTCAGGGCCTCCACGGATACGCGGAGGCCCCCACGGAGCTTCTGAGCCTTTCGGGGGGCTTCTGGAGACTTTTCGGGGAAGAGGAGGAGGATATGGACGAGGAGGAGCCATCCAAGATGCTGCAATACGCCCATCCGTCCCACTTGCCCTCCTGAGACAAGCATGAAACAAATCCTGCCTTGACAGACGGGCGCCCCATGGGTTTGCAACTCCGCTGAGAAGCCCGCGCCGAGAGGGAGTTGCCGTCCATGCTTCCAGCTTCAGGACGGCGACGAGGGGTAAGATCACCCGGTCCAAGAAGGGGTCTTGCGAGAGCCCCGCTCTGTTGAAGAGCCGCCATCAAGCGACAGGGTATGCGCATTGCCAGGAAAACCGAAGGCAGTCTCAACTGAGAACCCCAACCGCAGTCCACCCGCGCCCAGGTTGTAGAGTGCGTAAGAGTTTTGAACAGAAGTTCTGTCTCGAACATAAGTTCTCCAAACAGCTTGTGTGCGCGGTCTCTGTTTCTCTCTCTCTCTCTCTCTCTCTCTCCCTCCGTACATGCATTCCCAAAGCAGCGCTTGCATTCTGGAGTGCCTGTTTTTGTTCGAAGGAGCTGGGCCGTGTCTTCGGTCTGGCGGTTGTGTGGCCGCCGTCGCCGCCCCGTCGCCGACTCGACGCTGCCCGTCGTCTGGGCCGTGTCTTCGGTCTGGCGGCTATGCGACCGCCGTTGCCGTCCCGTCGCCGCGTCGTCGCCGCCCTTCGTCTGGGCCTGTCTGTCGGTCTGGCGGCTATGTCGTCGCGCCGTCGCCGCTTCGTCGCCGCCCTGGATTGCGCAACATAGATGGCGCCGTCGATTCATTGCACCACAAGCACTGGATCACATATGTTGCATCACATATTTTGCACCACATAGGCTAGCCTATATCGCGACGCACTGATTGCACCACATGGATTGCATTTCGCGCCATAGAGTCAATGCGCCCAGTAAGGACGTGCGCATGTTCTAGAGCACCCTTGTGTGCTTGCCAGTGCGGCCTGTCCCTTGCTGTTTTCACTCGTCGCCTGTCGCCCAAAAATCATAACTTCGGGCTCCAAGAGTCATGCGCCCTTACCACTCATTCTTAATATACGTTCTCATTGTAGAGGGCACAGCATATATTGCACCAAACAGGGTGCACCACGTAGATTGCACGACAGTGCGCCACGTAGGCTGCACCACATAGCCTGCACACCCTGGGTTTCATCGCACACGTTGTACGGTATTGATTGCATGACGTAGGCTGCACCACATAGAGTATACAGCAGGCATTGCACGATCTATGTTGCACCACGTAGACTTGCACCACATGTCTTGCCCAACCTGGAGTGCACCATTTATTCTGCACCACATAGCCTGCACAACATTATTTGAGCCGCATCGATTGCACCGCATGGCTTGCTCAACATATATTGCACAACATAACGTGCACGTTCTATACTATACCACGCCGAGTGCGCAAAAGATACTGCACCACATAGATTGCTAGAGCGACACACCGTTTGGGGCCCATGGTGGCAACGATTGGAAACTATAGGTGTGCTTGCATGCGTCGAACTCCGGCGTGATATGGTGCACTGTAGACATGTGAGTTCTGGGTTGCTTCTGGTGCTCCGATGGACGGTGCGATACACGTGGTGTGCAGTGTGAGTTGTAAGCTACGCGGCGAAATATACGTGGTACAACTCGTGTGGTGCGAGCCATATCGTGCAAGCTACGCGGTGCAACCTGAGCGGTGCCAGCGATGTGGTGTGAACTATGATGTGTGAGCGATGCAGTGTAAGTTCTGTTGGGCATCCTACTTGGTATGGACCAAGTACGAGGTGCAAGCTACGTGCTGCAATCTACGTGGTGGGAGCTACGTAGCGTGGCGCTCGCACGGCGCGCCCACGAGGCGCCCACGGGCGGCAGCGTGACGAAACCTTGGCGGACCCACCCAACGCACGGGGCGCCCACAGGCGGCAGCGTGGAAATCCTTCGGCGGACCCTTCCGAGTCTCTGAGGAAGCACTTGAGAAACCCCTAAGTGTAATTCTTGCTAGGTGGCTATATATATATATATATCAGACTTATGACTACAGGTCATTGGGGTATCTCGGGGGTCCCGCAGTAATCGCCGATCTTATCTCGCAGCTTTCTTGCTCTGATGTCTTTCTGTGCACCGAGGGTGCACGTCGGCGCGCGAGCGAGCTGATAGCAGCTCGCCTCTGCAGGCCGCATGGCGGACGGCGAGGGCGCCACGGCGGCGGCCGTGGGCGAGAGCCGCGCCGTGCGGGCAGGTGACTTCATCCAGGTCACGTGCTATGACGACGCCGACGCCGTGCAGGGCGAGGCCGTGTTTCGGATCGCCAGCCTGTACGAGGCGAGCGAGCACGGCCAGTACGCACGCGCTGAGTTCCTGTTCTGCACTGATCAGTATTTGCAGTGGTACGAGGAGAATGCGGGATCCCCTGGAGCCAGGAAGTTAAAGCGTGTTCTCCATTTTTGTCCAGAGGATGAGACGGCCATCCTATGCGCTGCGGAGGCGGGCCCTGGCGTGGAGGTAACGCACGTCGACGAGTTCGTGGTCCTTGAGTCGGTAGAGGAGGCGTACCTCCAGTTCCGGCGACGCAATCCTGCTGCGCGCTGGCCTGCCGAGCTGGGGCCCGAGCCGCTGGAGGAGGAGCTGGGGGATCCCGTGGACGAGGAGCTAGTGCCCGCCGAGCTGGACGAGTTCGGGCTCGCCGCCAAGGTCGTCGACTCCGCGGGTGAGCTCGAGGCCGCTCGCGAGGCGGAGGGGCCTGGCGCCGCCGCGGGCCCTCCTGGGCGTGCCGCCTTAAAGGCGCGCGGTCGGCCGCCCGCTCGGGCTCGGCCACCTGCCGCGGCCGCGTCGGAGCCCGCGGGGCTGCCTGGCGGGAGCGTTCGCCCCCGCGGCACCGCCGGCGGGGAGACCCCGCTCGAGGCCGCCGCCGCCGCCGCTGCGAAGGAGCCTGCAGGGCGCCGCCCTGACGAGGAGATGCAGGCGCTCCTCCGCAAGAGGCTGGGCGACTTGAAGGGTCGTCTGGGCGCCGAGGGCGACGCTGCCGCCGAGCCTCGAGGTGCCGCTACTGAGGGGGCCCCGCTCAAGAGGAAGTCCCTGGATGAGATCCTGGCTGAGAGGGCGGCGAAGGCTCCCAGGCGTGGGCCCGCGGACGGGGGCGCAGCTGGCAGCGGAGGCCTGGCGGGCGCTGGGCCCGAGCGTGAGGGCGGCGGGTCTACCGCTCACCTCCTTCGCTCGCTGCTGGGCGCGCTCACCCCTGCCGAGGGCATCGAGGGCTTCGGCCTCACCGACGGCTTGGAGTTCACGCCTGGGAAGTCGTTGGCTGCCTCACGAGCGTTCTTCAGGAGGACTGCTCGCGACACTCCAGGGAAGCTGCTGACGGCCCATTTGTCGCACCTCAATCAGTTTCTCAGCACAAAGGGCATGCACGACGCCGAGGAAGAGCTCCCTCCGATAGTTAACAAGTTCCTGCTGAACACCTTCTTGGTCTCGCACCCTGTTTCAGCAATCGGCGAGGACATGTTCAGGCAGATGCGCACTCTGTCCGAGTCCCTGGACCTCTTGATCCAAGGGAAGCTCCCGGAGGCCATGGACATGCTCATGCAGAGGTTCAAAGCCTGCCAGCTCGCCTGCAAGGATAAGCATTGGAGGAGCGCGCGCTGGCTGGAGCTCATCCCTCCCGATGCCGACATGGCTGCCATCAATATCGAGGAGGAGGAGCTTCTGAGGAAGATCGAGTACGGCGAATTGAAGCTCGCCGAGCTCGCGGGGAAGCTCAAGCCTGTCGGCTAGGGACTCGGCCGGGGGCCCGCTCCACCCGGCATGGGAGCGACCCCTGCAGGCCACCCCAGCGACGGGGCGACTGGTGGGCCAGCTGGAGGTCGGGGTTTTCAGGAGGCGGCTCGCACTGCAGAGGTGGCGGGCGCGAGTCGCCAGCCTCCACGCCCCCCGACGACGGACAGGCCCTCCAGGACTTTCAAGGAATTGAAGCTGCAGAACCCCAAGAAGGACGGCGAGACGCAGGGCAAGTACCGGCAGCGCCTGGCGCTGCTCATGCGGGGCGACGGCCCCAAGAGGCAGGCGCCGCCAGTGCAGGGCGGTGCTCGCAAGGTCATCCTGGAGGGCGAGGGCTCGCAGAACCAGGCCGCCAAGCAGAAGACTGCCGCTCCATGGGCGGCACCTCGGCGGTGACGCACGCCACCGAGGCTAATTCGTCGTGTGCCAGCGGCGGAGCGAGCTGGCCTTGGACGCTCACTAGCATGTCCGACCTGAGGGCCTGGAAGTCCAGGCTTGCTGCGGCCCTCGAGGATGGCATGACCCCGCTCACCTTCGCGCTCTGGCTGACAGATGCTATGTTCACACACCCTGGCAGGCTGGGCAGGTTCTGTCGGGGTTTTCTTCACCACGCGCATTCACCGCAGCAGCAGGGGCAGAGGTTTCGTGATGTGCTGCCTCTTGCTGCTCCATCATTGGACAGTGCCAGGGCCTGGAAGGGTACGTCGAGGGGGTCAGCGGCGGGGCCCTCGGGTGAACCTGGGCCCGATTTTGATGGGCCCTCTGCTTGCGCTGTCGCTGCCGAACTGTGGCTCTTCATCCAGGTTATGCTCACGAACTACCAGTATGCGGGCACGTGCGGGGGGGAGGCGTGGGGCCACCACTCGCACTACTCTGCCGCTCAGGCCAACGCCGTCGAGGTCATGAGGGAGGCTGTCTCGTATTTCCTCAGGGGCGACCTTGGCAGGGTTCAGCTGCCCCTCCTTAGTGAGATCACGACGCGGGCGTCCAGCGCTTACGACATCGACAGTGGCACGCGTGCGCTGCCCCTGAGGCTGGGAGAACTACGACCTGGCCTACCAGCAGCTGATGTCGCTGGCCGGCTGGACCCTCGTGCTCATGTCAGCCCTGAGGTGCTCACCTGGTTGGGCGACCCGTCGGTGGCCCTCCTGCCACGTGCCCAGTGGCCTTCTGAGGTTCCGAAGGCGAGGCTGCTGGTCGACTCGCCTGCGGAGTGGGCGAGGATCGTTGGCCACTTGTACTCGCTCGGGATCGTGGAGGCCATACAGGACGAGCGGATCTTTCGGGCGGACGGCGTCCCCGTGCTCAACGGCGCCTTCGCAGTTGAGAAAAGGGGCGTGCCCGAGGCTGGTGAGCAGAGGCAGTGCCGCTTCATCATGAACATGGTGCCAGCGAATAGTTACCTGAAGATCATGACCCAGGACCTGTCGACGCTGACGGCCTCGACCTCTTGGGTTACGGTGGTGTTGGAGGGCCAGCGCGTCTTGCTCTGGTCGGGTGACGACCAGCAGGGTGCCTTCTTTGTCTGGAAGATCCCGCGGGCCTGGCGCAGCTTCACGACGTTGAAGGGCCGCGTCCCCGGCCGCCTCGTGGGCCGCCCAGATCTGAAGACGGTGCATGTGTGCTCAGCCGTTATACCGATGGGCTGGCTGCTGGCCGTCACGTTATTCCAACACCTTCATAGACGCCTGGGCCTGCGCCCCCCCCCCGCTGGAGCGGGCCTGCCTGAGGTTGATGAGTGGAGGAGGGACAAGCCGCTCCCCATTGCTCAGGTGGGCGGTTGCAGGTCTTGGCACCAGTTCTTCATCGACGACTTCGATGCCCCCAGGATCGTGAACGACACCGAGGGGGAGGTCGGCGTCGGCTCTGCTTACCAGAAGCGACAGAGGGCTTCCTACCAGCGCAACGGCGTGGCCTGGGCCGAACGCAAGGCCCACCTCGGGGAGACGAAGGTCGAGAGGATGGGCGTGCTCGTGGATGGTCTGCGCGGGCGCGTCTCGGCACCTCTCATGAGGCTCTTCGAGACCATGCTCTTGGGGGCCCTGCTGGTGACCAAGGACTGGGTCTACTGGAAGACCATGCTCGTGCTCCTGGGCAAGCTCGTCAGGGCTTTGGAGTTCAGGCGCGTCCTCTTTTGCATCCTCAACGAGGTCTGGAAGTTCGCGGATGGCACTCACTCTGGCTGGGTCAACTCGGAGATGACCGAGGAGATCCTCAGCGGCGTGGGCCTCCTCCCGCTTGCCTTCACGGACCTTCGCGCGGAGGTCGATGCGGGGGTTACCTGCTCTGACGCCTCGGAGGATGGCGGAGGCGCCTGCACGTCACTGAGGCTGTGCCCCGAGGCCCTCTCGAAGCTGACGGCTGCTGCCGCTACAGACCAGGAGGGCAGGCAACACCTCATGGCGGGCCGTCTGCTGCTGGGCGAGGCGTCGCTTTGGCGAGCGTGGGAGTCGAGGAACCCTGGTTTGCCGCCCCCTGCTGGTGATAAGATACCTGCTGTCCTGGTCATAGGGCTGTTCGACGGCATCGGGGGCATGATCGTCTCGCTCTCAAGGCTCCGCACGAAAATCATTGGCTACGTCTCGTCGGAGGTTGACCCCAGCGCGCGCAGGGTCGCCAGGAAGAGGTGGCCCGGCCTCATCGACTGGGGGAACATCAAAGACGTTGGGGCTCAACACATTGACAAGCTGGTCCAGCTCTTCGGCGGGATCGTCGACGTGGTCTACTGTGGCGCCGGCAGTCCATGCCAAGACCTGTCGAGGCTGATGTTCGGCAGGAGGGGGCTCGAGGGCCAGAAGAGCGCTCTCTTTCGCGAGATACCGCGAATCCTGGGGCTGCTGAACGCCGCGTTCCCTGGGAAGGTCCGCTCCCTCATCGAGAACGTCGCCTCCATGCCATTCGAGGACATCGAGCGCATCTCTAGCGAGCTCCAGGTCACACCCTATCGGTTCTGCAGCAGTTGCCTGGTCCCCAACAGAAGGCCGCGGTTGTACTGGCTCTCGTGGCGTTTGTTGCCGTGCAAGGGCTATAGCTACAAGGACATGGGGCACTTCGTCGATGTCATCTCCGACGGCGCGGCGCGCGTGGAGCTGCCCTGGACCTCCCCTGGCTGGATCTGGAATGGTGGCCCGCTGCCTGTGCCGACGCTAGTCTGTGCTAGGCCCTCTTTGTTACAGCCTACTCGACCTGCTGGAATTGCTCGGGCCAGCCCCGAAGCGAAGGCTCGTTGGAAAAAGGACGATCATCGTTACCACGTCGGCCTTTACGAGAACGCCTGCCTACTCCAGCATGAGGCCACCATGGAGCTCCGCCCCCCGTCGGCAGAAGAGAGAGAGGTCCTCCTGGGGTTCGATCGAGGATACACCGAGTGTGCCGTAAAAGACGGGTCTGGCTCGAGCCTCGAGACCACGCGCTGCTTCCTGCTTGGGAATAGCTTCTCAGTCTATGCGGTCTCATGGCTGCTGCAGCACTCCCTGGTCGCGGACGAGTTCCAGCCACAGCTGTGGGAGCCCCATGCCCTGTGCCGCACGGGCAAGTGCAGGGCCCCGTGGAACGACAGCGCGGTCTACCACCAGGGCGACGACTACCAGTACGAGCCCGAGGCGGAGCAGCTCGTGCGGCACTACCTGTCTATCGCGGAGAGAGGGGGCACGGACGTGCGCTTGGACGTGCACCTCCCGTTCCGGCACCGCGCGTGGCCGCGCGTGTCGCTCGAGCCCAGCGTCTGGACGTGGAAGGTGATCTCAAGTTACCGGTGGCGTGCTGGGATCGGGAAGCACATCAACGCCCTCGAGATCCAGGCGGCCGTGAACACCATCAAGTGGAGGCTGCGGTCGGGCACGGGCCGCCCCGGGCGCATGCTACACCTGATCGACAGCCAAGTCGCCGCTTCGGTGCTGACAAAGGGCCGCAGCAGCAGCAGGGTCCTGCGGATGCACGTCAAGCGCTGGGGGGCCTTGTGCTGGGCGACAGGCTGCTACGTCATGCTTGGCTACATCGCGTCGGAGGACAACCCCGCCGACGCGCCATCCCGAAAGGTGTGGCAGCTAAGAGGCTCTCGCCGCAAGCCCAGAGGCTCCAGCGGTTGCGAGGCTCCCAGAGGCTCTCTGATCTTAGGGTCAGCGCGGTCACGCTCAAGAGGTACCGTATCGCCGTCGCGGAGTTCCTCGCCTTCGCCATCGAGGGTGGCTTCCCGCTGAACAGCTCGGCCGAGGCAGACAGCGCGCTGGGCGCCTACGTCGAGGACCAGTGGGCGAACGAGGGCACGCTCAGCCATGGGCGCTATGCACTCGCCGGTTGCCTCTTCTTCGCCCCCGAGCTCCGCACGGCCCTGCCCTTTGCGTGGTCCCTGGTCAAGACGTGGCAGAAGCTGGCGCCCATCAATCGCGCCTATCCGGCCAGCCCCGAGATGGCGCTCGGGCTTGCAGGCGCTGCAGTGGTCCCTGGTCAAGACGTGGCAGAAGCTGGCGCCCATCAATCGCGCCTATCCGGCCAGCCCCGAGATGGCGCTCGGGCTTGCAGGCGCTGCAGTCTCGGTTGGCCAGCCTCTGTTGGCTGCCCTGGTCCTCGTCACGTTTGATGCGATGCTTCGGACCAAAGAGCTGCGTGATCTTACATATGATGATATCACGTTCGCCGAGGGCGGCGTCATACTGCGCCTGTCGGAGACGAAGATGGGCGTCAGGACCGGCAAAGTGCAGTTCGTCGTGGTGCGAACGCCCGCCGCAGTCAACTTGCTGCGGGTTGCTGCGGAGCGCGCCCAGCCGACGGACCATCTGTGCCCGTGCACGTACGCGCAGCTCCAGCGGCTCCTGAAGTCGCTCCTCGCTGTCGCCTCGATCCCGCCTGCGCGCTGGTCCTGGTACAGCTTCAGGCGAGGAGGCGCCTGCCATGACTTTCTTTTGGGCGCCAATCTCGAGCGCACAATGCAGCGTGGGAGATGGAGTGCCGTGACTTCTGCACGCGTGTATATCGAGGAGGCTGTCGCCGACCTCGTGGATGTCTCAATGAACCAGCTCTCGAAAGATATATTGAGTCAGCTTGGCCTAACGCTACTGAATTCCGGCTATAGCCAGTAAAAGGTGTGTATGGAGAGGCCGCGGCGGCCACCCTGGAGAGTTTTTTCCTTCGGTGGCGGGCCCCCCGCTTGCACCGTGCCCTCGGCCTTGGGACCCCTGGGCCGCTCCGTGGGTCCGTGGTTCGGGCGCCGAAACCCTCGAGGGATCGATCTGGCTCGAACTCTCACGTGTCCTGGGAGCGCGAGGGTGGTGCGAGTAGCGGGGGGCCCCGCTGCGTTAAAACCTCAACACAGCTGTCTGGCACAGCTGCGAGATCTTAACCAGTGGCGAATGCGCGACCAAAACGAGATCAGACTTATGACTACAGGTCATTGGGGTATCTCGGGGGTCCCGCAGTAATCGCCGATCTTATCTCGCAGCTTTCTTGCTCTGCCATCCCACGCCACCCGAGCAAGTAGGAGAGAGGCCGCGGCGGCCACCCTGGAGAGTTTTTTCCTTCGGTGGCGGGCCCCCCGCTTGTACCGTGCCCTCGGCCTTGGGACCCCTGGGCCGCTCCGTGGGTCCGTGGTTCGGGCGCCGAAACCCTCGAGGGATCGATCTGGCTCGAACTCTCACGTGTCCTGGGAGCGCGAGGGTGGTGCGAGTAGCGGGGGGCCCCGCTGCGTTAAAACCTCAACGCAGCTGTCTGGCACAGCTGCGAGATCTTAACCAGTGGCGAATGCGCGACCAAAACGAGATATATATATATATATATATATATATATGAAAGAGCGTGTTCTACCGCTGCTGGCGGAAAACCGGGGGGGGTCACTACCGGTTCGAACCCCTCCCCCCCCCCCCTCCGGAAAACCGGGGGGGGTCACTACCGGTTCGAACCCCTCCCCCCCCCCCCAGCTCATCATGAAAAGGGGGGGGTCACTACCGGTTCGAACCCCCCCCCCCCCCTCGAAAACCGAGTGGGGGTGCGGACAGTGGTGGGGACGGTGTTGGTGGGGACAGTGGTGAGGGGACAGCGGGACAGTGGTGGGGACAGTGGGGGGACAGTGGGACAGTGGTGGGGACGGTAGTGGTGGGGACAGTGGTGGGGACAATGGTGGGAACAGGGGGGACAGTGGACAGTGGTGGGAACGGTGGTGGTGGGGACAGTGGTGTGGGGACAGTGGGAATGAGGTGGAAACACTGGGACAGTGGAGGGTACAATGGTGGTGGGGACACTGGTAAAGGCGGTGGCGAGGACGGCGGTGGGACAATGGGACAGAGGTACAGTGGGGACAGTGGTGGGGACAGTGGGGACAGTGGTGGAAACAGTGGGACAGCTCAGTGGGACAGCGGAGGAGTCAGTGGGACAGTGGGGACAGTGGGGATAGGCAGTGGTTGGGTCCGTGGAGACAGTGGGGAGAGTGGAACCGTGGTGGGAACAGTTGTGGGAACAGTGGGGACAGTGCGACAGTGGTGGGGGCACTGGTGGGGACAATAGGGACGGTGGTGGAACCAGTGGGGACAATGGTGGTGAGGACAGTGGTGCTGGGAACAACAGTGGGGGATGTGATGCGAGCGGTGGTAGGGACCGGGAGTCGTCGTTTGCTGGCGGTGCGTGGGGTCGAACCGGTAGTGACCCCCCTCCGGTTTTCGAGGGGGGGGGGGGGTTCCAACGGTAGTGACCCCCCCCGGCGGTTTTCCGATCGGAGGGTGGGGGGGGGGGGGTTCGAACCGGTAGTGACCCCCCCGGTTTTCGAGGGGGGGGGGGGGGGAGGGGTTAGGGAGGGGGGGGGTTTTGCCGGGAGGGAGGGGGGGGGGGGGGGAGGGGTTTCCGGCAGGGGGGGGGGGGGGATTTTCGGAGGGGGGGGGGGGGGGGAAACCCTCGGGCTCCGGAGGAAAAGGTTTTTGCAATTTTCCACAGTAAAGCGGCGGTGGATCACGCTCTCTCTTATAGATATACACACATATACACACACCTATATAAACATGTGTATATATATATATATATATATATATATATATATACAGACGCACATGCCTATGTATATGTACACACATGTCTGTCCTCTGGGAAGAGTTGTTTTGCTCAGGTCCGACATCGGTAGCACGTGTTCCGCCGTATGGTCTTCCGCGGTCTTCCGTCTGGTCTCCCATCTGGTTTCTTTCCTCGGTCTGGAGCCGGCAGGGTAGCCCGTGACTTTCCATATGGTCTCCCGTGTGGTCTCCCGCATGTTTTGCAGCATGATCTCCCGTATGGTTCCCCGTGTGGTCTCCCGCATGGTCTCCCGCATGGTCTCCCGCATTGTCTCCCTCGTGGTCTCCCGCATGGTCTCTCCAGTATGGTCTCCCAGGACTGTGTCCCTTGTTTCATCCCGCTGTCTCTCGTGTGGTCTGCCGTGTGGTCTCACGTCTGGTTGCGCATGGCCTCCAGTACGGTCTCTTTGTATGGCCCCCCGGCATGATCTCCCGTATCGTCTTCCGCAGGGTCTCCCGTATGGTCCTCTTTGTGTTGAGGTTTCTGGCACGGCCTCTCGTATCCCTCCGTTCCTCGCGCAGCGCTCCCCACGGTGGCACGATGGCCGACCGACCGACCGACCGACCGACCGACCGACGACGACGACGACGACGACGACGACGACGACGACGACGACGACGACGACGACGACGACGACGACAGCGGAGGCGGCAGCGGTGGCGACGACGACGACGACGACGACGACGACGACGACGACGACGACGACGGCGTCGTCCTCGACGGGCACACTGGGAGTGCCCGCGTCGGCGAGCGGGCGCAAACACCGCGCGGCCGCCAGCCTCACGTTCCAGGACCAGTCCGGGCGGGTGCTGCCGCCCCACTCCCAGGCCCGCCCCCCCCCCGCGCGCCCCCCGCTCGGACGGGGCTAAGATTAAGTCGGGCCTGTCCCCCTACAGGGGGATTTTCGACGAAAAATAATACATACCCCCAAAATAGTCAAAAATAGTCAAAAAATAGTCGGGGGACTATTTTTTGATTATTTTTTTTCCTTCTTGGGGCATATTTGTGGTATTTCTATGTTTTCGTCGAAAATCCCCTGTAGGGGGACAGGCCCGACTTAAGGCTACGACGCGGGTAAATCCGTTCTGGAGCGTTCTGGAACGCTCTCAGAGCGTTCCGGGACGCTCTGAGAAGGCCGCGGCGCCCAAGACGCCCTCCAGAGCCGCCGGATCTCAGAGATGCTCGATTGATCCTCGCCGAGTTTGACCTCGTCCTGGCTTCGTCTTCCCCCCCGCGCGCCCCCCGCGGCGCCCGCCGGCGCTGCGCGCCGATCCGCGGCTCCGGGGCCGCTGCTCCGAGGCGTTTCCCTCGTCGGGCAGCGCGTGGCGCCGTTTGCCGCTGCCCTCCTGGCCCTCGTGTTCTGGTGCTCCCTGCCGCCGCTGCCCGTGCCTCTCCTCCCGCTCCTGCCCCTCGCAGTCCTCCCTCCCCTGCCTGAACTCGGCGGCGAGCGAGGGGGGGAAGTGAGAAGGGAAAGAGCGTGTTCTACCGCTGCTGGCGGAAAACCGGGGGGGGTCACTACCGGTTCGAACCCCTCCCCCCCCCCCCTCCGGAAAACCGGGGGGGGGTCACTACCGGTTCGAAACCCTCCCCCCCCCCCCCCCCTGCTCATCATGAAAAGGGGGGGGGGGTCACTACCGGTTCGAACCCCTCCCCCCCCCCCCCCCCCCCCCCCCCCCCCCCCCCCCCCCCCCCCCCCCCCCCCCCCCCCCCAGGATCCGGAAAACGGGGGGGGTCACTACCGGTTCGAACCCCCCCCCCCTCGAAAACCGAGTGGGGGTGCGGACAGTGGTGGGGACGGTGTTGGTGGGGACAGTGGTGAGGGGATAGCGGGACAGTGGTGGGGACAGTGGGACAGTGGGACAGTGGTGGGGACGGTAGTGGTGGGGACAGTGGTGGGGACAATGGTGGGAACAGGGGGGGACAGTGGACAGTGGTGGTGACGGTGGTGGTGGGGACAGTGGTGTGGGGACAATGGGAATGAGGTGGAAACAGTGGGACAGTGGAGGGTACAATGGTGGTGGGGACAGTGGTGAAGGCGGTGGCGAGGACGGCGGTGGGACAATGGGACAGAGGTACAGTGGGGACAGTGGTGGGGACAGTGGGGACAGTGGTGGGAACAGTGGGACAGCTCAGTGGGACAGCGGAGGAGTCAGTGGGACAGTGGGGACAGTGGGGATAGTCGGGCAGTGGTTGGGGCCGTGGAGACAGTGGGGAGAGTGGAACCGTGGTGGGAACAGTTCTGGGGACAGCGGGGACAGTGCGACAGTGGTGGGGCCACTGGTGGGGACAGTAGGGGCGGTGGTGGAACCAGTGGGGACAGCGGTGGTGAGGACAGTGGTGCTGGGAACACCAGTGGGGGATGTGATGCGGACGGTGGTGGGGACCGGGAGTCGTTTGCTGGCGGTGAGTAGGGGGGAGGGGGGGGGGGGGTTCGAACCGGTAGTGACCCCCCCCGGTTTTCCGGATCCGGAGGGGGGGGGGGGGGGGGAGGGGTTCGAACCGGTAGTGACCCCCCCGGTTTCGAGCGGGAGGGGGGGGGGGGGGGGGGAGGGGTTAGGGGAGGGGGGGTTTTTGCCGGGGGAGGGGGGGGGGGGGGGGGGGGAGGGGTTCCAGCAGGGGGGGGGGGGATTTTCGGAGGGGGGGGGGGGGGCGACCCCCGGGTTCCAGAGGAAAAGGTTGGCAATTTTCCACAGTAAAGCGGCGGTGGATCACGCTCTCTCTGAGAAGGAGAAGGCCCTCTCAGAAGGCGGCGGGACTTCTCAGAAGCCCTCGCGCCTTCTGAGAAGTTCTGTCTGTCTCCGAGGAAGGCTCTGAGAACTTCTCAGAAGGCCCGGAAGCTACAAACCTTCTGAGAAGGCCTTCTCCTTCTCACTTCCCCCCCTCTCTCGCCCCTGATTAGCGGGCGAGGAGCGATGTAAGATAATGTTTTGTCGCCGCCGGGGATGCCTGTCCCAGGGCGGCTGGAAAGTTTGGTATCCCTGCGGTGGCACGTCAGGGTGCAAACTTTCAAGCCGCCCTGGGACGGGCTCCCCCCGCGACGGAGAAGTCTATGCCATACCGGTCTTCGCCCGCCAACTGCCCCCGCTCCTTCCGCGCGCGGCGTCGGCATCCTTCGGCCGAACGAAAGGGAGGGATAGGGAAAGAGGGGGTTGCGGAATCTGTTGCATGCAACTGGCTTCGGCCCCGCCGCCGGGCCCATTCCTCGACACATGGGCGCCTCTCGGCGCCAGGAGGCGCTGGGCAAATCAGCTACGCAAGCTGATTATCTATCCTACCCTTTGCCATCCTCCCCTTTTGTTCCTCCCGACATCCACAGACCCCCGCGAACGCCCAAAGTTTATGCGTGCGCTCTGTTCTGTTCAGAGGACCCAGGGATCCTGGCGTTGCAATTCTTTCGAGCTGGGCGTTTGCGTCAGGTTTCGGGCCCCAGGATTCTCACGGATCTGTCCGGTTCGGAAGACATGCAGAAATATTGGGTCTAGGGCTCCGGTCTTGATGTTCCACGGTGTTGCAATGTTTGCACAACGTCGGATTTCATGGGATAGTGGTTCTCGTCATTCGTCGTCGTCGTTCGAGGATGGCGTTCGTCATCGTCGTCGTTCGTCGTCGTCGTCGGTTTGTTCTCGTCGTCTTCGTCCGTCGCCGTCGTTCGAGGAAATCGGTTCTCGTCGTTCGTCGTCAATTTGATTTACATGCCTGCTCATCTTTCGAGGATAGCGGTTCTAGCCCTTCCTGTGGACGTCCATAGCGGGGAAGTTGGGGGTGTCGGCGCATGCAGCCTTGGCCCGCAGTGGCCCCAGCTTCTCCACGGAGGCCCAGATGGCCTGCAGAGCACGCCTCTCAGGGCCCAGGGGGCTCCAGAACGCCAAAAAGTGCTGACGGGCACCACGGGGCCAAGGACAGCCCCCCCCAGCCCTGACACTCTACGACCTGATGTTCTCAATGCGATCCCTTCCCCGCGGCAGTTTGTCGCCCCGGATCCATGTTTCAGCGGCGAGCGAGGGAGGGGCTTCTCAGAAGCTTCCCGGCTTTCCGAGAGGTGTTCTGTGTCTTCGGGGAAAGCACAGAAATCTTCTCAGAAGGCCAGGGAATTTCCGAGCCTTCAGAGAAGGCCAGCCCTTCTTCATTTCCAATTTCCACCCCTGGCGCGCCGCTTACTGTTTGATGGCCCCCAGGCTAGCAGGCGCCGCCGACGACGACGACGACGACACTGCTGACGAAGACGACGATGACGACGACGACGACGACACTGCTGACGACGACGACGACGACGACGACAACCACAACGACGACGACGACGACGACGACGACGACGACGACGACGACGACGACGACGACGACGACGACGACGACGACGACGACGACGACGACGACGACGACGACGACGACGACGACGACGACGACGACGACGACGACGACGGACGACGAACGACGACGACGACGACGACGACGACGACGACGACGACGACGACGACGACGACGACGACGACGACGACGACGACGACGACGACGACGACGACGACGACGACGAACGACGAACGACGACGACGACGACGACGCCGACCGACGACGGACGACGGACGACGACGACGACGGACGAACCGACGAAACGACGACGGCGACGACGACGACGACGACGACGACGAACGAGGACGACGACCACGACGACGCGACGGACGACGAGACGACGACGACGACGACGAACGACGAACGACGACGGGACGACGGCGACGACGACGACGACGACAACCACGACAACCACGACGACGACGACGACGACGAACGACGAACGACGATGGCGACGACGCGAACTACGACGACAACCACGACGACGACGACACGACGGACGACGACGACGAACGACGAATGACGACGGGCGACGGCGACGACGACGACAAACACGACGGCGACGACGACGACGACGACGACGACGACGACGACGACGACGAACGAAGAACGACGACGGCGACGACGACGACGACGACCACGACGACGACGACGACGACGACGACGACCCGACGACGACCCACGTACGACGACGACGACGACGACGGCGGACGACGGACGACGACGACGAACGACGAACGACGCGAACAGACGACGGCGACGACGACGACGACGACGACGACGGCCCACGACGACCACGACGACGACGACGACGACGACGACGACGACGACGACGACGACGAC